TAAGAACAGGAACCTATGCCTAACACTAAAAGACTACAAGTAACCTACGCCTAACTCTAACATAAGAACAGGAACCTATGCCTAACACTAAAAGACTACAAGTAACCTACGCCTAACTCTAACATAAGAACAGGAACCTATGCCTAACACTAAAAGATTACAAGTAACCTATGCCTAACTCTAAAACATGAACAATAACCTACTCCTAACACTAACACTAAACTTAACACTAAAAGCAACGAGAAAAACAACAACTAAACTATAACTCCCGCAGCATTTAAATGGGAAGAGGAGAACTTGGCTCCACAGGAGGCTCGGAGGAGGAGCAGATGGTAACTCATGCCACCCAGCTAATGCTGGGGGCGGGGGCCGCGCAGCGGGTAGGGAGCCGAGCGCCTGGACCAGCGGCGGTGGAGGGACGGCGCCGATGCGGGGCCTGGCACGGTGGTGTGGTGCCAGGCCAGCTGAGCCGCAGGCGGATCCACCTCCATGGGCTCTTCTGGAGGTGGATCCACCTCCATGGGCTCATCCAGAGGTGGATCCACCTCCATGGGCTCCACGGAGGTGGTCACAGCGCTGGTCCAGGCGCGATGGAAACGGAATCGCTGCCCCCTCCTCCGCTTGATCTTAAAGGCGGCCCCCCTCCTCCTCTTCGCCTCTGGGAAGCCAAGCTCCCTCTTCCCATTTAAAATAGGGCAAATTGTGCCCCTCGCTCTCTTTGCTCCTGCCATGGCTGACAGAGCTCACAGAGGCGAGTGCGTTGGCCGGGGCAGCGGTGACCAAGGTGACGGCTGTGATGCGGCGAAGGTTCTAAAATGGCAGCCGCACTGCTGGCAATGGCGTTCCACATAGCATGAGGAGGGGGCTGCAGGACAGGGCACGGGACGGCAGCTAGAAGGCGCTCCCTGTGCCCAGCGGGCAGCCCTTCTCTCCGGCAAGCAAGAGGCCACAGAGGAGCCGGCCCCGAGAAAAGGGCCCTCGGCCTCCTTCATCCTCTCCCTTCTTCCACACGGGAATCTCTTGGGGCTGGGACACGCAGCACACAGCGCCATGTTCAGGGGCCTCCCGAGCCCAGCGCCAACAACAGCACGCTCCAAAGCGCACCTCACCACGCCTGCCTCCTGGCACACACAAGCTCCGCTTTCCACCTTAGCATCCAGCGCCTCTTCTTGCTCCTCACGGCTGGGGATTCAACCATTCCCTACAATCAATACGGCCAGCTGCATTCTCATTACAATCACTCTGACTCCGTTCCACATCCGCGCACAATGCTGGCACACACACACGGGGCCACCCTGGCTCACCCATGCTTCGCGGGGACCCACACAACAGCATGAGCAAAGCAGGCAGAAACGTGCCGTGCTCCTGACTGATGGCAGTCTGAAAATCTCCCTCTCCCTCCCCCCCAGCCTACTAAGGCAGCAGTTGTCCCAAGCAACAAACACAATCACACACAACTGCAGCCCTGCCTCGTCCCGACAACGGACGTCCAGACGAAGCACATCTTCACAAACCTTCTGCCAGCTCCGCACCCTCCGGCCAACACAGCACCCGGGCGCCTTGCTCCACTGCCCGCCCGGGCTTTGCTGGCGACAACTCGGCCCTACGGGGCCTCCTCCTTCACACGCCCCAAACACCAACACAGCTCCGCACTCGCACGGCCTTCCCTGAGAGGAAGCTGCCCCCCGACCCCGCACCACTCGCCGGCGCCGCACGCATCGCCTCTGCGTGCCGGCAGCACCGCCAGCTCCTCCCCCGAGCGCCCCTCCATGCCCCCGCACCGAGGCCCGACCCCGTTCCCAGCACACAGCCCGCTCCTCCCGGCCCCGCTCACCGGCCCGGCGCCGCCATGCCGCGCTGCCCCGGAAGTGCTCTCCGCCGCCAGGAACCACTTCCTGCCCCGGCCCTACCAACCGCCTGCGGCGTCACGTTGCTGAGGGCGGCCCGGGGCCTGGAGGAGGCGGAGGGGCAGCTGGCGGGGTCCGCTGCCGGATTCCCCTCGGGAATAGTTTTTTCTCTTTTATTTTCTCTTTGCCTTTCTCATCCTTTTTTTTTTTTCACCTTCCCTTTCCCTTCATTTCCCTTTTGTTTACTTTCTTTTTTCCTTTTGTTTTTCCTTTCTTTTAGTGATAAGGTGTAGTCTTTATATTAAGAGAATTTTCTGCACTCTTACCAAGCACTTGAATCCTGTGCGTATTAAGTGATTCAGTTTTTAAGGTTTCATTATTTGCATTTCGATCCTTTAATCCTTTTTTTTTTTTTTTTTTTTTTTTTTGTGTTGAATGTATAAAATTCTACAACCTACTGGAGTATCTATATACTTGTGAGTTATAGAGGTCTATGGCACTTCACTAAGGATTTCCTGTGGCATAATTATTCTCGGTAAATAATTGGCAGTGCTTTCTGTACACAAGATGGCGAATGGATCAACCCAGAGCTCCGGAAGGGCAATAAATCCTTTCACCATCCTATCACAGCCAACTTAGGACACGAATGCACAGAGGACAGAGGTGTAAGTCTTGTGAAAGTGAATGCCAAGTGAGATTCTATCAGTTTGGTTAGTGTGGCCAAGTTAAATTACTTCCAGTACTACCAGTACCTGAACTGGGTCGTGCCACTCTCCATTTACCTTTACAAACCTTGTGGTTTGAAGGCTGAAGACCAACAGGAAATTATGCATTTAGACTGCAAACTGCCCTGTACACCTTCCTGGTTAAAGCTTTTCCTTTGTCCTCCTCTCCACCAGCAGAAATGGCTGTACCTATTTTAAGAAGAAATAAACAGCTGAAATTTTCATCTTTTTTTACTGCTCCTACCGAATCCCTCCACCACCAGCCTCCCGCAGATCTTGTAACATGGCAGCATTGCCAGGATCTGTGCAAGAGATGCCACCTTTGAACTGCAAGCAGGTGGTGCCATCAGCCCGCTCCAGCTGCACGCCTTTCACCTGCTCCACACCAAGCCATGCATTTGCACTGATTTTGAGATGATAAAAAGGACAGCCATTTGAAGGTGTAGGCTGGTTGAATTACTTTCCAAAGCCTCTGAAATCTGAGTGGGTTTCAAAGCTAACATTGGTTCAGCAAGCAGAAATGGCAATTGTGTCAGCACATAATTCTAAGCAGACAGAGCTCAGATGTGAAGTCTTCCTCTGAATTCAAATCATCCTCAGCTTTTTTATCTTTATAACTTTCTTCTGTGGTTTGCATTGCAATATTCCCTACAAGTCTCAGCAGCAAGACCACTTACTGCGCAAACACCATGAGCTTGTGCACTGATACCTTTTCATCCTCAGGTTGTATATTATTATTCATGCAAGAAAAGATGAGTCTAATTACTTCTGGTTGATGTTTTTTTTCTTTTTTTTCTTTTTCTTTTTTTTTTTTTTCTTTTTTTTTGTTTCCTTCTTTTTCTTTTTTTTTTCCCTTCCAATCCTTACCGGAAGCAAAGCATTCCTCACTCCCACTCTGTAAACCACTTTACTTTTTTGATATCAGTAACACATCTTACTCAAACCCTTTTTTTTTCAGCAGAAGCTTTCAAATCAGTGTTTGGAACACAGGGTCCTCAGGAGAGGCATCAGCAGCCGAGGGAGCTCAGTGCACCTGAGCACCACGAACCAGGGACAGGGGTAGAATTAACGCCAGCTCCCCTTGTTTCTTGACTTTAGTTGTACTGTCCTGTCCTGTGTAACCTTCCAGACAAGGCTCCTTTCCAAATGAAATGATAGTGGTAGACCGAAGATGCGGTCGCTGCTGGCATCTGAGCTCTGTTTGCCAGTGAGGAAGAGGAAGGAGCTGGTATTTAGAGCTAGAAGTTGAGGAGCCAGTAACTCTCAGCTGACTGTAACATACTGACATCTGGCTGAAAGGCTTGGCAGTTCACTTGGGCAGTGCTGAAATGCTCCTGCTGCTCTTCGAGGAGATAAACAGAGCCAGACAGGTGCCGGCTCTATAAATGGTTTGCACCCACAGAGCACATCAGGCCTCTGACAGATACGGATCCTGCAGGCTGATGCCATTTGTTCCATTGTAGTCTGGGTGATGCGGTGATGTTTGAAGATTAAGTAGGCTTTTCAAGCAGGCTTTTAACTCTCTGAGACAGTCTTTTCTAATAGCACATTCTTGTACATTTTGAATTAGGGAATTATTTTCGCTATTTTTAATCTGATCCCCTGCTTCAGACTCATTTTCATAGTCTAAACTGTGATCTCTTCCAGAAGGACCTTTTTCAGGAGATAATTTTGATAATTGTTTGTATTCAGGTTCCTACCAATTTGAATTCCTCAAGGGAAAATTCTGCCCAGGAAATCTATTAGTGTTCAAAGGGTCAGCTTTGGAGGCTCTGAAGATCCACGTCTCAACATTTTATCCTTTCAAGATGGAGAAGCCAAGACTTGCATAATTTTCTAACGGCAAGTCTTCCAATTTGGGGTTCTCCATTTCTTCCTTAGAAGTAATTATAAGTCTGATTAAACCTGGTCTTTTTCATCTCATTTTGTTTGCTTTCTTGCCACGGAAATTATTGCATTTTTGTAAAGAAGTTTGGAACAAAAAGTTCTGTGTTTTCATGAATAATGGACAATGTATTAAATGACTGATGGTAACTTAATTATAGTGTGCCTTTGGTCAACCATGTGGGATAAGACACTTGAACTAAAACGTGTACCATGCTACCCGTAAGGTGGCAAAGTTAGACCAAAAATATAACTCAATCTTCTCAGTCCGGTGCAACTAATGTAACGTTAGGGCACTTGTGGCAAACTAGTCACCACCACACTTCTCGAGTGAAAGAAAACCATAGGAAACACTTGGTTTTGTTCTAAAAGGAACGGGGAGCCAGCAGCCACGGCTTGTGACATTTTGGAGAAGTGCAGAAACGCTTTTGACAGAGAAGAACTGGGGATGATTTTCTTTCTTGTCATTTGATGGGTTACTTCTTACTGTCCTTATGTTCGGCCTCCCAAGGTGAGTAGGACCACTTTGCACGCTGCTCAGCTTATCTGGAGCTGTGTGCTATGCACCTGGAACAGATGGGAGATTTTTTAAAGCATGGCATGCAGTCTGGAGGAGGTAAAGCGAAGAGGAAATCAATATCTGGGAAATTGCTGCAGGATCCTAACATTGTGTCCTTCATCAGCAAAGGACCAGCAGTGAAATACAGCTACCTGTCCTGTGCTTCACCCGGGATGGTCACATCTACACAGACATGACTCCAAAGTCCAGCAAAAGATACCCGTGGTGGCCTGTACTTGGCCATAGACTGTGGCTCTGTACCAATGTAGGGCTAGGAAAAAAGGCAGCTATCCACTGTGGGAGGCAACAAGACAGGAAATCCTGGGGACAGAACAGCTGCTCTGTTTATACTTTGGGAACTCCTAAGCTGTTTCTACCCAATGGAGCCTGGAGGGCTTTTAGAAAATTCTGCTGCCTCCCATAGTTGACCTGGTCACAAAGAGCTTTTTGTTGCGAGGCCTTTTTGGGTCCAGCTGTGCATGACAGAAGCCCAGTCCAGGCAGAACGGGGAAGCGCCTATCACCACAGAGATTTTTACATGGCCTTCTTTGACAGCAGCTCACTTAAGATACAAATGCAGATTATAGCTCTCATAACCCAAGGTGGGCAGCAGGCAGCTATAAAAGAGTCAATTATCGACTGATTCCCTTTGAACTGAGAGATATTGCCCTGTATCTTACAGCAGCTCTGTGTAAGGCAGTGGGCCAGGCAGATCGAGAATTAGCTCAGAGACAATCTGTAGGATAATATCTTGGAGCAGCATCGGCTCTCAACTGGTTTAACGGCGTGGGCTGATTCATCTGTGCAGCTGGTGTGGCACCAAGACAGTGGAAGAAAAATAAGCCATGCTGAAAAATTGGTGCACCTGGCCTCACACATGAGAGAATGTGAACAGATTGTTTCAAAAATACAGACAAAAATCCTTTTCCAGTTGCAGAAACAGGGCACAGGAGCGTGCATCAGTACAGCAGTTTTGGAAAACCCTGCTCTGTGCTATCCAAGAATACCTTTCTCCAGTGTCCAGAGTAAGGATGATGCACATCTGTCTGCCTGGTCTTACAGCAGACCCTCTCCCCCTGGGCAGGCTGATGCCGCTTCTCACAGCTGTAAGGGAAGCAGCAGCTCTCACTTCTCTTTGTGGAGCTGTTTTGCTTTTGAATTATCTCGGAAGTCCTCTGGTCAGCTGCTTACTTGAGGGCCAACTCCAGCTCCTGCTTTGCTCCTTTCAACCCTTCTTGATCTCTTAGGGAAGTTGCCTGGCACTGATTTACACCAAAGGGAATGTGAGCCCTCAGAGCATGTCAAAACTGGAGGTTACGGTCTAGGTACAGAGTGGCTGTTGTTTAATCCTTTGTAGATTTGGCATGCTGAGCTCGCTCACACCTCTCTGTCCACTGGGTTACTGCTTATCAAGACCTTCCAGTTACTGCTCCACTAAGAAGCAAGCTGCAGTGACATTGCCAATTGCTTTGCAAGAAGCAAAGGGGAAGTGGAGTTGGACCAACACTGACCACTTGAATCTCCTGCACATTCCAGCTGCATTGCTCTTCCCTGCACTTGGCCTCTGCCAGCAGCAGCTGCACTGAGTGCAAGGTGATGGCATCCTGCAGTAGGCAGAGATGAGTCACTCACTGCTGACACTTCCACCCAGCACCAAGGCGTGCAAGCCCCAAGATGGGAAGATCTGGGTTTCTATCAGTTCTGTGCATTGTAAAGTCAGCACTGAAAACAGGCAGAAGTCATGCTTTTCACCTCCTTTGAATGGCCCCAGCCTTCCCAGTGCCCCAGCTATGTGTCCTTTTTAAGGGGGGCTTTCACTCCTTGCTCCAGCAGTGACAGCAGCTGCCAGCATGCAGCCCTCCAGGGAAGACATCTGCCTTTTGGCAGAGCACACAAGCAGAGCAGGGCTTCCCAGCTGCTGTGAGCCTGATGTGAAGCTGCTGTGTTTGTGAGGGACTGAAGCATGAACTGCCCCGCTGGTG